CCCCAAAACCCCAAAACCCCAAAACCCCAAAACCCCAAAACCCCAATTGTTATTTTAATAATAGAATTTAAGTCACATGGAAGAAAATCCAAAGAAAATCTATATTGATGACTTCATGTCAGATGAGGAGGAGAGCTCCAGCTCGCCAACAAAGAAGAAACTGGATAGGCAGCAATATGAGGAGAATAAATCTAAATTTGATCTCAAAAAGCTCATCTCTGAATTTATTCTTAAGAAAGAATACTTTATCTCTCATAAGACTACTAGTATCTTCGATGATTATGATTTTGAAGATAAGCCTGCTGGCAAAGGCTCTTTTGGAGTGGTATTCAAAGCTCATGAGAAGCATACAGGCCTCATCCGTGCAATCAAACAAGTAATGAACGAGAATATTAAGAATTATGACGGCTTCATGGGCGAAGTTGCTGCATTAAAGACTCTGGACCACCCCAATATCATTAAATTATACGAAGTTTATGAAGATAAAGATTGTGTTTACCTCGTACAGGAATTCTGAGAAGGAGGAGAATTATTTTACCATATTGTTGAGAACGATCATCTTGAAGAGAAAGAAGCTGCTAGGGTCTTCCTTCAAATTACTTCTAGCATTCTGTATTGTCACAAAAATTGCATCTGTCATCGAGACCTGAAGCCAGATAATTTCATGCTCGCGAGCAAGGATAGTGAAAGTTTAGTCAAATTGATAGACTTTGGATTGAGTAGATCATTCTATAAGCTCAAAGATGAAGGAGGAGAGATGCTTAGAATGGAAACCAGAGCGGGGACTGCTCTCTACATGGCTCCTGAGGTCCTTGACAAGGACTACTCAAATGCTTGCGACACATGGTCACTTGGAGTAATACTTTATATTATGATCAGCGGTCTTCTTCCCTTCGAGGGTTCAACCGACGCAGAGATTGAGGAGAACATCAGAAATATCAACTATGACTTCGACGACGATGTCTGGAAGGAAGCCTCTGATGAGGTCAAAGACCTTATCTCAAAGATGTTAGTGTACGAGAAGGATAGGATTACACCAAAAGAAGCTCTGAAGCATCCATGGTTGGCTAAATTTACAGAACAGAGCCATGAAACAGACAAGATGTCATACGTTGAAAAACTAGAAGATTTCAAGGACTCTAATAACTTGAAGAAGGCGATTCTGTCATTCCTGGCTACGAAAGTAAATGATGAGGAAATTAAGGATGAAATAGAACTTTTCAATAGCTTCGATACGAACAATGATGGCTACATCACAAAGAAGGAGTTAAAGAAAGGTCTCTACAAGCTTGGCAAGAGAACAGATGAAGAGGTTGACCAGATCATGGATAGTATGGATACAGACAAAAATGGGGCAATTAATTTCAACGAGTTTATCTCAGCCACCCTTAACTCTGGTATTTCCAAAGATTATGAAAGAATCGTCAAAGCTTTTGAATTTTTCGATCTTGATAATGATGGTTTAATTGATGAAAACGAGCTGAAGAATGCTTTAGCTGGACAAGAATTTGCTAAGATTGATGTCGGAATATTCCAAGAAGCTATTAAGCAATGAGATTTAGATAATGACGGCAAGATTAGTTTTGACGAATTTGGTAAAATCATGTCACTCCAATTAGACAAGATGGCCAAGGACAATATGAGAGATACTCTTACTCTATCAACTGGAGTATAAGTATTATCCATTTTGAGAAGTTCTAATCATTCATATTGATCAATTTCGAAGAGGCTATGAGGGGTTTTGGGGTTTTGGGGTTTTGGGGTTTTGGGGTTTTGGGG